AAGTGGCAGGTACGATTCATATCTACACCGACGGTTCTAAAACAAAACAAGGTTCAGGTTGCGGAATATACTCCAGATTCTTAAACCTTAACATAAAATGGGCTGTGAGCAAAAGTGCCAGTGTAGTTCAAACAGAGCTAACGGGGATTCTCATAGCAGCAGAAGAAATAACCAGAAATAATATCACTGGAAGGAACATACTCATCTATACAGATGGCAGATAAGCACTACTCACCCTGACCTGAACAGACCACGGCCCTTCTATTGGCCTAACAAAATCGGTAGTGACAGACCTAATTAAAGAACATTCCCTTGTGAAATTCAAGGAAAGATGGGATAAAACAAGAAACTGCAAAGTTGCCAGGGAGCTCTTAAGTTATCCTGACAACACTGCAGCAAACAAATACTTGACTCTGACTAGACAGAATCAGCGTCTGGTCACAGGCATTCTGACTGGTCATTGCCAAGTACGGAAGCATCTTCATATCATGGGGCTGTCAGAATCCGCACTCTGCAGAGGGTGCGAACAAGAAGATGAGACCATCGAGCATATCCTTTACGATTGCCCGACGCTCTCATTTATTAGAAGATTTGTGTTCGGCGAGTATCGGCTAACACTGGCCGATATAAGAGAAGCACCTCTTGGCGACGTTGTCAACTACATTAAATCTGTAGGGTACCTTTTAACCCCCCCGTATTTTTTTGACATAAAGAAACTTGCTTTATCGATCTTAAAATCAAAAAGAACTATGAATTTTTATTTTTTTTTTATAGCGAAATGAACTTTGTATCTTTCTTATTTAACGAGCTATTTACAATTTTTTAACTGAATTTTTAGAGCAATTCGTCCATCCTGGACTTAACATATTAACAAAACTAAGAGTAGATCAGGAGTTATTGTACAAAACACGCATATAAAAATCAGTGGTGTGTCTAGGGCTTTGCTTGAACCGCCCCTGCAAAAACTACCTCTTTTATTTATATTTTTGTATTCAAGAAGAAGGAGGACATGTTGAATATTTACTAAATTAAATAGTTTTTAAAATATGTATAATAATTATTACCAAATGTTTATATTTAATTGTTGATTTTTTGTTAATTGTTTAATTAAAAAAATATTTTTTTTTATTTACTATTAAATTTAATAAATATATTTTCCAACCAACGTGTATTTTTATCAGTGGCATGGTGAACCCATGGCACACCATTTTTATGGCGCCAATCCAATATTATAAATACCTTTTTTACAAAAATATAAATAAAGGAAGTAGTTTTTGCAGGGACGGCTCAAGCACAGCCCTGGGCACACCACTGATTTTTATATGCGTTTTTTGTACAATTACTCCTGACCTACTCTTAGTTTTGTTGATATGTTAAGTCCAGGACGGACGAATTGCTCTAGAAATTCAGTTAAAAAATTGTAAATAGCTCGTTAACTAAGAAAGATACAAAGTTCATTTCGCTATAAAAAAAATTTAAAAATTCATAGTTCTTTTTGATTATAGGCTCGATAAAACAAGTATCTTTATGTAAAACAAAATACGGGGGGGTTAAAAGGTACCCAACCCCCCAACGTTTTTTAGAGGGGTCGCTTTAAATTTTTTTCTCCTTAGAATATTGGGCCTTCAAATCTACAGCACTGGCAAAAATTTCGAAGAAAAAATCGCAACAGCAAACTTTTTACAAAAAAAAAAAGATTTTCTGAATGTTAGTTTAACACCCTGTAACTTTGTTGGAAGCCAGTTTTTGATATAGGTAAATATAGCCAAATCCACTTATTTTTTGGTAATCTATCTGAGGATAAATTTATTACATACCTTTTTGAAACACCCTGTATACAGGGTGTCCCGAAATTAGACGGTCATATTTTAACAGCGTAATCTACATCCTAAAATAGGAGTAAAAGTTCATATAAATATAGGTCTGAGAACGTTTCTTTTCCGAGATACAGGATGTTAAAAGTGAAGTCCTGATGACACACTTTTGTAAATATTTTCTAAACGTTTGAATTTGGATTTGAATCTCAATTTTTTTTATAAATTTTTAATTAATCAGTGTTCATAATTATACAGGATGCGTGCGTAATTATTCAATATTTCAATTTGTGTTATAGACTCGCAAACAAGTTATATGGATTTGAAAAATATATATTTTAAAAATATTTTTGGATATACAGGGTATTGCGTTTATGCCTGGCAAATAAAAATGTATGTTTTGTAAATAGAACACTCTGTATTTTATTTTATTTTAGAATGGTTTGGTAATACTCTATTTAATCCCAGAATATTTTTATAAAATTTTGCAGTATTGCCAAGCAATTAATTTTTTTTTAAATTAGAGAATAATGCAGATCCCAAATTAAATTATCATAATTTAGGTAGGTTTACATTGATTTAAAAATTGTTTAATATACAGACTTATAAGATACCAAGCTAACCAATAGTGATGATAGAACTGATTTTAAGTTCAATTTACTCAATTTTTTTAAATGCATCATCCTGTATATTATCTTAGCATAAAATTCCTAAAAAAATTGCCTATGCAACGATACTAATATGTTGGCCAATAACACATACACAAGATGTCCCATTAGTGCATAATTGATCGATAGCTGTTTTATTATTAGCAATACGAAGAAATGTTTAACATAAAAATTGTATTACCCTATTTTACAATTATTCTAAAATATACAGGGTGGTCCATAAACGAGGTGCGGATCAAACCTATACTTTTTAAAAGTAAAACACCCAGCATGTTGTTATACATATTTTGTTTTCACATCGTCAAACAATTTTAATAAAAATGACTTCATTCATTTGCTATGTTGTATAGTGTGTGTCAAAACGAGAGGTTACGATTTTCTCAATTTTATAAATGGAATACCCTGTATGAATTAATTGGTGGTATAACATGTAGGGTATTCTATTTGAAAAAATTTAGAAAATTGTTACCCCGCATTTTGACATACCTTATATACAACATAGCAAATATATGAAGTCTATTAAAATTGATTGACGATGTGTAAACAATCAAATATGTGACCGCCCCTCGTTTATGGACCATCCCGTATATTTAAGAATATTTATTAAACTCGGTCATACAGTTTATGTATTATTTTTATTTTTCGTATTTCCAGTAATAAAACAGCTATCGATCAATTATGCACTGATGGAACACCCTGTATTTGTGTTATTGGCTAAAACGTTGGTATTTGGATAGGTAAATTTATAAGGAATTGTATGCTAAATTAGTGCATTTGAAAAATTGAGTAAATTAAACTTAAAATTAGCCATATTTAAAACATGTTTTAAGACACTCTGTATAAAATAAACCAGTTCTATCACCACTATTAGTTAGCTTAGTATCTTATAATTATGTATTTTAAACAATTTTCAAATATTGTAAATCTATCTTAATTATGATACTTTCATTTGGGATCTGCATCATTCTCTAATTTCATAAAAAAATTAATTGCTTGGCAACACTGTAATATTTAAAAAAAATCTAGGGTTGAATGCAGTGTTACCAAACCATTCTAAAACTGAAATAAAATACAGGGAGTTCTATTTAAAAAATATACATTTTTATTTGCCAGACAAAAACGCAACACTATGTATACCCAAAAATATTTTTAAAATACGTATTTTTTAAATCTATATAATTTTTATTTGAAACTTGTTTGCGTTTCAATAACACAAATCGAAATATTAAAAATATGCTCTAATGGGACATCCTGTATAGAGTTGACAACATTGGGGACATTGGGGTGATCAACTCGATTGTTCACGTTCTGCTTATAACCGTGCTGTTCATAAAGTGGCGCAAAAATAAAGGCATACTTACAGATAATAAATAGAAGCCCGCTAAGAACTTCTTTGTTCATACTTTATAGAACCTATCTAGTTGATGCCCTTGTCACACAAGTAAAAAATAAAGAAATATTGTATATGTGCATTATATTAAAACAAATATTTAGATACCTATCTATATTATGCTTAAAAAATCAATGGCTAAAGAGGCTAATAACTACATGCGATTCCATTTACACAATACAATAATATATACAAATAATGTAAAAATAAATTTCATATCTTGCGTATAATTTAACTCAATTAATTAATCTTTGGGTGCACTTCCCTTTAAATTTAACCAAATTTAACTTAGAGAAATTATAACTGCATAAACTGAAATGCCCATCTATATTTATCAATGGAATTATTGCGAATTCAAATAAAATGCAGTCATCAGCCAGCCCAGCCAGCCTAAGCCCGTACCTGCGAGTTTAGAAGAATACATTTTTATTCGCAGATGCGAAAATGCAGGACGTATATTTGTTATGTAGTTGCTAACTAGAGGCAGCACCTGTCGGGTAACTTTATTTTTTCTCTTTTTGGGAAGACTTGTTCAGACTTCTCTGTTCCCTTGCACGGCCTTAACACATGTGTACACTATAAACCATCGATATTATCTTATATCTAACATTCTATATCTCTCTAAAAACCACTTCTTGACATTTTCTAAAATACCCTTGTGACAATCAATAATTATTATCTTAAAAATTCCATAAACAAAAACATCCTTCCCAACTACTATAATTTCTTTACCCCCACCCCGATATTGCTATCTTATATAATTTTGATATAAATCATGACGTATTTATTTGCCCTCCAGAAATTTGTATATCAATAAATATTATTGGTTGCCTAAATCATCCAATAGTACGAAGAACGTAACACATTTTGTCACTATGAAAAATTGTTAATTTTTAAAATAAATTTTCTGTTTAGCATTAATAATAGAAAATAAGTAGGCTAAGCTTATGATATTCATAAGAAACCGGAAGACTAAACTTTTAAATCAGTATTCACAGATACCTATACTGTCCGAGTATAACAAAAGAATTGATTCATTAGTACCGGGTAAAACCATAACTCTCGTTGAAATAATAAACTGCAAATCTTGTGGTAGGTATCATTTTTGTGATTTGGTTCAAAATACAGGAAATAATATCCGATTAAACAGTCTCCCAGCACAAATGCACGGTGTCGACATGTATTCGAAATTGTTAAGCATCTTCATTTTGTGTTTCACTACATTTTTAAGCAATTTCGTGACTGGTCAAACATGTCAGAAATTTTTAACAATAAATATTACGGACGGCGTTCGAGAGAATAACGGAATTAACAAAGATGGGATATATTATGACGCTAAAGATTATTTTAAATCCGGTAACGATACGTTAGGGTGTGTTTGCAATATTCGAAAATGTGCAAGAAAGTGTTGTGAACAAGATGAATTTATGATTAGTAACAAGTGTGTCAAGAAACTGAATAATACGACAATTAATTTTATAACTTACGACTACACAACAAAAATTTCAACTTCAACAAATAGTGATTTTTTTATGGTATATGGGAAAGATTGTCCTGAAAAATTTAGTCTTTTTCAAGCTTATGAACCAGTGTATTTACAAAACACCGGATTGTTATTTTATGCAGAAGATGATTATTCTGAATTATACAGTATCGAAAAATACTGTATTGATGATATTGATGGACAAATTTCGGCTTTATTATGCGAGAAAGCAACCCAGCAGGAAAAGGATTTAATAATAAAAGGAAATGGTGAGTAATAATGATCATTTTAATACAAGTTTATTCATCTGAATGTGCTGCATTTATTAACTAGAGTAAAGATATATACTGCGTGGCATTCCATATAATACTTTTCACAGTTTAACAGATCCCCTTTAACACTCATTTTCGATCAGATTTTTTTAGAATCAATAAGTTTCATCCCCTTATAAAGTTTGATTTTCCTGAAGATTTCAATTTGATATCTTTTTTATTTTTAAGTTAGATTTTTTCAATATTTCAACCCTCCTTATCCCCTAATTTTTATTCAGATATTGTTTTTAGAATCAATAAGGTTTCATTCCCTAGTAGATATTGATTTTTTCTAAAATGTTCTTGTTGATATCGCTTTTCATTTTTGATTTAGATTTTTTTTAATTTCAACACCCCCAAATGGCGCCATTTGACTTACATGTTAAGAAAACACAAAAAACGTCACCCACCATCATCGAGACGGTAACGCATGGCGACTTATAATCTGGACGTCATATCAACAGAAATAGAATTTTTGTAAATAAGGCACACATCAATTCCTATAACGAACCATGTAATTTAATTAAAAATCCACATGAGATTCCACAAATTTGCCTATAAATGAATATAAGCGCGTTAGACAGCTACGCCACCGACCCGATAATAACATCTCTTCTGTAACTTGGCCAATGCTTGCAACAATTTTATGAATTAATAGTCCGACAACAATAAGAACATCGCAACGTCATAAATATTATTTAGAATTTTCAATATACAGTGTGAAACGACTCTCGAAAATGGTACAAAATTATCGATTTAAATTTTAATTTTTTTGGGGTCCAACAATTTAAGTTTTTAAAAAAACCTATTTTTCTTTAGAGTAAAGTGCTTTTTATGTTGCATATATGACCAAGAGTTATTCGGAAAAGTTGTTTAGAATCATCCATCCATATCCATATCCATATACCTTCCAACCATGATGTTTTATGTATTTTGACAATACAGAAGATCAAAGTTGGTATTATTAAGACCATCCCCGGACCCCAAATGTAAAAACAAATACTTGTAGACAGAAGTACCAGAAGTGGAGGTGTATGTATTTATGTAGAACACCCTTTAGTAGCTAAAGTTATTAAAAACTTCGATTTAGGTAACTCATATGAGCAAATTTGAATAAATCTGACTATCAATAAACGTAAGTTTTGCTTTGGCACTATTTATCGTCCGCCCCATTCAGACTTTGAAAATACTGTGTCAAAATTATCGTTAGAATTTGATTTTATGGTTTGTCTAGGAGATTTTAATATAGATTTGCTCACCACGAGCCACACTACAAATTCATTTCTATCCTTACTAGAAGAAGCTGATTTAATACAAATGGTAGAAAAACCCACACGAAAAGACCGTCTTTTGGACTTCATCATTCTAAGTAATTAGTTAGAGTGTAACAAAAGCAAAGTTCACGATATTAATTGTTCAGACCACTTCCTTATAGATTGTGTTTTAAATATTGAAGTCCCAAAAAGAACTAATTATACAAAAACACAGTTTTTCAAAATTTAATTTAATAAATTTTGAGGAAGATTTAAAAGCTTTAAACTGGGATCAAATTTCCGAACAGCTTTCCATTGATAAAAAAATCTAAACCATGAACAATTTTATACACTATCTACTTGATAAGCACGTACCTCTCAAAACTACTAGATAATTTTGAAAAACCGTTTAAACTTTGGATCACTGAAAACATAAAATTTATGATTCAATTGAGAAACAGAGCACTTATCAAATATAAATCAACCAAGAATATTTCTCATTGGAACTATTACACACAATTAAGAAATTTTATAAATAATGCAATTAAAACATAGAATTCAAGAGACGCTAAAATAGTGGTTCCCACCTTATCGAGACTTAGGCCCACAAGGGTAAACTCGTAGCGTAACAAAAACGAGAAATGATTTAACTTGTAACGAAATACCGAAAACCGATAGTAGTATTAGCACGTTGAATTTTTTGGTTTGTGAAGCATTGACATTACTTAGGTTAAACCATGTTATGATTTTCACAAGCCTTAATTTTTAAAACTATTCTATATCGCCTTTTGATTAGAGTTTAAAAACTTGTTCGAGCAATTTATCAAATAATAATTGGCCCCTTTACCTCTTAAGCCTGCTCATGTAAAATATTTGGGCTTCTTACTTCGCCTATTTATATTCTATTAATAAAGGATGGAAGGATGAGTATTGCAACTATGTTAAAAGAAATAAATTGGCTTTCAGTTCAGAATTATGTTCAGTACATGACTGATTTTTATTTATAAAATAAAAATGATATAGTACCATCGCATCAGATCTATTAAAAAAACTTCAATATAATTCGCAATATCACAACTATAATACAAGAAACCAATCTGACTTTCATGTACGGCAAGCCATCACTAAAAGTTCCCAAAATACAATTTTTATTAAAAGTTTAAACAATTTAATAGACTGCCTACAGAAATTAAAAAAAAAAAAAACAATAAATGTATTCAAAAATAACCTCAAAAAATACGTGATAAATAAACAGAACGGATATACTTTCTTCTAATAATACTCTTTAAACCTGCCCTTTTTAAGTATTTCCCTTAATTTATTGTTATTTTACCTCTCGTTTTATCCGAATTTATTATAGATTATTTGTTTTGAGATTATGTACCTTATTTTAAAGAATTACTTGATGTTATATTAATACTACTTACTATGTTTAAATTATTAATAGTTTTGCGACGATAGGTTATAGCAACTTATAGCCACAAAACTATTTTTGTGTTAAAGTAGATCCATAGAGAGCAATATAATTTACAAAGGCCTTCTTTCAACATGCAAATAAATGACAACTTTATAATTAAAATGAAAAACGCAACAAAATATATCGGTATCATAATTGATCCAAAATTGAAATGGGCATTATATCCTACCTATCGTTTATATAATAAAAAAGTGCTTTGTATAAGAACATTATACTATCTGTCTTGCTGTACCTTTATTTATGGAAAGCCTGAATTGAGATATTTGTTATTTGCACTAAATATCAAAAGAAGTATACTTACATTTTTAAATAATTTGACATTTAAGAGCCATTCACATATCACAGATGACATTTTGATACTTGACAGGCACAGCCAAGCATTATTTTGATTCTATGGGGTTGCGACAGAGAACCAGTAAATTTTATGAAGGTGTTTTTGTGGCTAGAGGCGAAATAGTAGTACGCTTAATATCACAACCATAAAAAAGTAATTTTTAAGAAACTGCTTATATATTTTTCATAAATTGGCAGGCTTGGCGACTAATTTCGAATGAAAATAGCCTCCAAAATGGCTATATGATTGCAAGTATGAAGGTCGCAACCCGCTTTAGAAATTTCACCTTTACTATCAACAGCTGTTGTTTGACAGGTCGTTAGAGAATGTTTGCAATTTATGGAATGTAAAGAATGTTAGGAATTTTGACGTTACAAATAATTGGAATTCCTAAAATTGTCACATAAGGAATGCATATGCGGATTTTAAGAAAATTGTTATTAAAGTAGTTAAGATGGACCGAAAATTCTGAAAATCAATAGGTTTCTAAGTTAGAAGTAATTATTCAAGAAAATCAAAACCGCAAGTCAATCAGAACTTTCGTTCTAGAGTTATCGTGGCGGCATACATATATACATACAAACGACCAGACAAAAATTTTTTTTTTGGATTTTCGGACTCAGAATGATCAGAAACATGAAAAAAGTTTTAAAAAATGGGGGTCAGAAAATTTTTTCGTCTGCACGAATGCAATACTGAGGCCCCACAGGAAGGGCCTCAGTAAAAAAGTGTACTTAGAACATAAATTTCGAAACTCTGACTCTAAAACTAAATAGAAAATCCTACATAATATATTACCAAGCAAAACTGAGGAAATAAATTTTTAGGGAAAAAAATTGTTAGGGAGAAAATTGTAAAAAAATATGTATTTTTTATTTTTATATTCTTTTTGTTTTACTTTCATTCAGGCTTCTGAGGAAGAACAGTTTTTAACTGATCAAAAGTCCTTTTGACCGTTTGAATGTTTTTTTACATTGTATAGTTTGTTTGTAAATAGTTAATATAAGGTCAATAAATTGTATTATCATTATTTAAAAAAAAAGTCCTGTCATTGCCGGGAGTCGAACCCAGACCTCCACGTAAGCCGGACGTGTCCCTTACCGTGAGGTTATCAACGACATTGACTGTCGAGATTCCTTAAATAGAAATTTAAGGTCCTAGTTCTATCCAGACGACGTTCAGGTTTCTTCTCAATTCTACAAATAACTACAAATATTTGTTTTCACATTTGAGATCCGGGGATGGTCTTAATAGTTCGTAAGGGGATTTTTGAGATTTGTTTCCAAATTTTCAAATTGTTTAAAAACTTTTATTTCAGATAATTCTGACCTTTCGGATTTCGATTTTGCGATCTACGATATATTAAAACAATTTTCATAATCAGGTTTACGTCGCTTAACGTACATTGAAAACTTAACTCACGTAGACAAATAATGAGCTCAGTATGCAAAGCTCATTACTCCGATGCTGCAGTAAAGGTATTTGTAGATTTGAAAAGAAACCTGAACGTCGCGTCGTCTGGCTAGAACTAGCACCTTAAATTTCCGTTTAGAAACTTCGACAGTCAATATCGTTGATAGCCTCACGGTAAGGGCACACGTCTGGAAAACATGGAGGCCTGGGTTCGACTCCCGGCAATAACAGGTTTTTCAAGTATTTGTTCTTACACTTGGGGCCCGGGGATGGTCTTAATAATTCGTAAGGGGACTTTTGAGATTTGTTTCCAAATTTTAAAATTCTTTAAAAAACTTATTTCAGATAATTCTTATCTTTCGGATTTCGAGTTTGCGATCTACGATATATTAAATAATTTTTTGACATAACTGTTAACGAAAAGTTACTATCTTGACAAAGTAAATTAAAAATCACATTTGGCTGATGATTCTCAAATTTA